GGTTTCTTCGGGAAAAGTCTGAGAAAGCTGAGAGATTCAGAATTTGGGTGCTGCAACTCTTGAATCAGCGCGGTTGTATAAAAAAAATCCGGAGTGATCATGGTGGCAAGTTTCAGAATGAATTCATGAAACTCTTTTGTGAAATTCATGGCATTGCTCATCAGTTCTCAGCACCAAGGACGCCACAGCCGAACGGGGTTGTAGAAAGGAAGAATAGAACACTACAAGAGATGGCACGAGCAATGATGCATGGGAACAAATTGTCGAAGAAGTTCTGGGCTGAAGCAGTCAATACGGCTTGCTACATCATAAACCGAGTCTACATCAGAAAGGGAACCAGTATGACACCTTATGAAATATGGAAAGGGAAAACCCCTAACTTGAGTTACTTTCATGTCTTTGGTTGCAGGTGCTACATCCTTAATGACAAAGACTATCTTGGAAAGTTTGACTCAAGAAGCGATGAAGGGATATTCTTGGAGTACTCGGGAAACAGCACTGCATTCAGGGTTTTCAACATCAGGTCAAAAGTACTGATCGAGTCAGTGAGCGTGGTGTTTGATGACTATGCTCGTACCAAGTGGGAAGGAGCTGCTACAGGCAGTGACTCGGACGAAGAAGAAGAAGATCAATCAGCAGTTCACACTGGAGAAGGTGATCAAGCAGCTGTGGTTCCACCATCTGATGTTCAGCAAGTTCACAGGAATCACTCACCTTCGGATCTTATTGGTGATATGAATGAAGGAAGAAGGACTCGGGAGTTCAGTTGGACTTCAAAAAGATGGTTGGAAAATTCTCGGAGATGGTGCTATTTTCATGTTTTTTCTCTGTCATTGAACCCCGAGACGTGAGGCAGACACTTGGTGATGAATTCTGGATCATTGCTATGGAACAAGAACTGGAGCAGTTCGTGCGAAATGACGTGTGGGATCTTGTTCCAAGACCCCTTGAAGGCAATGTGGTGGGAACAAAGTGGATCTTTAAAAACAAAATCGATGAGAACGGGGTGGTGGTTCGCAACAAAGCAAGGCTAATCGCAAAAGGGTTTTCACAAGTTGAGAGAGTCGACTTCGAAGAGACATTTGCTTCTGTAGCAAGACTTGAATCAATCAGACTGTTCTTGGGGATGGCTTGTATCCTAAACTTTAGGGTATATCAGATGGATGTCAAAAGTGTGTTTCTTAATGGAGTGCTCCAAGAAGAAGTGTATGTGGAACAGGCAAAAGGGTTCGAATATGCTCAGTATCCACAATACGTGTACAAATTGAAGAAGGCGCTTTATGGCTTGAAGCAGGCTCCACGAGCATGGTATGAGAGACTCACTGGATTTCTGGTCAAACAAGGATATGTCAGAGGAAGTGTTGACAAGACCTTGTTCATCTATGAGCAAAATGGACAGATCATGATTGTGCAAATCTACGTGGATGACATTATCTTTGGAGGAACTGCTCAGTCACTTGTGGATCGATTTGTCACAAGTATGACTCAAGAGTTTGAGATGAGCATGGTAGGTGAACTGCGGTACTTCCTGGGTTTGCAAATAACCCAGTCAGAAGACGGGGTGTTTATCTCTCAAAGCACCTATGCGAAGAACTTACTTACACGATTCAAGCTTGATCAGTGTAAGGAAGCTAATATTCCAATGAGTACTACGGCCAAGCTCACCCGGGATGAAGATGGAACAGATGTTGATCCCACAGTGTATCGAGGGATGATTGGAAGCTTGTTGTATCTCACAGCAAGTAGACCAGACTTGTCCCTAAGTGTGGGTATTTGTGCTAGATATCAGGCAAAACCCAAGCAGTCACATTTTGAAGCAGTGAAGAGAATCATCAAGTATGTCAAAGGGACAATCGAATTGGGGATCTGGTACTCCAAAGGATCGAACAAGCACTTGGTGGGATACTGTGACGCGGACTGGGCAGGAAGTGCAGATGATCGAAAAAGCACAAGTGGAGGTTGTTTCTTTCTTGGTAACAATCTAATTTCGTGGTTGAGTAAAAAACAGAATTCTGTCTCACTGTCTACTGTAGAGGCCGAATACATTGCTATGGGGAGCTCATGCAGTCAACTGTTGTGGATGAAACAGATGTCCGCAGACTATGGGATGGATTCTGGGCCACTACTGGTTCACTGTGACAACAAAAGTGCTATCAGTATTTCAAAGAATCCAATGCAGCTTTATAGGACCAAGCATATCGATATAAGGCACCACTTCATTCGTGAGCTAGTGGAGGAGAAACAGGTAGTGATAGAACATATTGTCACTGATTTGCAACAGGCTGATTTATTCACAAAACCCATGGATTTTTATCGTTTTGTCACCTTAAGAAACTCGATCGGGTTTGTAGTATGTGATTGTTTGTGAAGTGTGCAGGACTGATACAGAAACTGACTCAAGGGGACACTCAAGGTTTAAATTCAGTCTGGATTCCTGGTGCTAGTGGAAAAGAGCTGTCTCAACTGCCGTCGTACCTTGACGACAGTACAGGTTTCATGGAGTAGAAGGAAAGCTGAGCTAGTTTCGGAGAAGTCAAGTGATGAAGCTAGCTCATTTCACTTCAACCAGAAAGGGGAGGAATAAAATAAATAAAAAAAAGGGGGGGGGGGCTGCTTGCAATCAAAATTAGCTGATCCTCTCAAAGGTAGATCCTCTCCTGGTACTGAAAGCTTCCTTCACCCGTGAATAAATGTTGAAAACTGGCAAAAGGGTCGATAAAGGCAGCTGAGTGTGAAAGCTAACCCGTGAATCAGGATGGCCAGACTCTTATGAATCGGAACAAGCTGAAGGTGTCTCATGAGTCAGAGGTTGTGGTTCGATCTGGTGCATTTCAAAGAAAATGGTAAAAAATTGTACAAAACATTGTTTTCAAAAGTCAGTGCATAGGTGATAGTTCAGTTGTCACTATTTGTTCTCTATCATCGGCTTATGTGTGAAAGTGCCCGTGAATATTGATGGTCTAATGCATGCATGCTTGATTCAGTGTGTGTTCCAGTACTTTTGTCACGTGTGAAACAGGAAAGTGGGTCGGGATTTTCGAAGTCTTGATGAGTTTGTGAAAACATCTGTGAAATGGGCTTGTTGCAAAGAAAAAGACCCACCAAAGCCACTGGAAGTTGAAAAGACGTGGGAAAATGGAAAGTGGGGGAGTTATTTACGGGGAGTGGGGATCCAAAAAATCAGCACCACTTCCTGTTTTAAACCCTAAATCAGCACGAGGAATCTTTCACCGGTTTTTGCTGTGTTGATTGTCATTGCGGCGTACAACTGGATTCCCTCAACCAACAAGAATCACATCTCTGAGGAGCATGCTCGCCTGTTGTACAAGCTGAGTCATGGTGTGAGGGTGGACTTCGGAAGGCTGGCTTTCAAACAGATTCTACTAATGAGCAAGATCATCAAGAAGGACACTCGCTGGTTGGTATTTATGTGTCTGATACAGAAGATTCTGAACCTTCAGCACGAACCTCAGCTGGATCAAGGAGAGACTCATATTGTCCCATCTCGATACAAAAAGGACTCACACAGTGGTGAGGAGTTCATCAAGAAAGAAGCTGCAGCTGCAAAGAAGGATAAGAAAAAAGGGAAGCAAAGGGCTGATGCACCGAGATCTCCGACTCCTCCACCTCAGTCGTCTCAGCAGTAACCTGGGCCATCACCGAGTGTGCCACTTCGGTCTTTCCGTGGACCTCCTCCTGATGCGTCCTTCAGGTCATCCGACTCTGCACCTGGTCGGACTCAAAGTGCTCCTATCGGAATGATTCGTGTTTCTTTGGCACCAGCGAGTGCGAAAGAAGTCACGCTGGCCTTACGAGATGTGAGTTGTGTGCTTAACCATCTCGACGGAGTAGTCAACATGGTGATTGACTCATTTGCAAGTATGTTTTCTGACTTTGACTTGTTTCTTCTTTTGGGTGTTGATTCTTGTTTTTACCTTCGGTGATCACAAGCAGGGAGAGAAAACATGTGGGAAGAAATTCCAAGAGATGAGGCAGGAGATGATGTGGGTGCTTAAATTGTGGGGGAGCTTGTGTAATAGTCTAGTTTCTTGTTTAGGAGTTAGGCTAAGTTTGTGGGGGAGCGTGTATTTTGCTCTAAAAAACTCTCGTTTGCAGCTTTTGATTCAAGACTATGTGGTTGACGTTTTTTTTATATGAAATGCGTGTTGTTTGTCTTTGTACTTGGTTGGGTTGTGGTTGCTTGTGTGGTATGTCTGAAAACAGGTGCTTGTGAGTCACACAAAGCTAAAAAGGGGGAGATTGAAGGTGTAGCTGTAATTGAAGCAGTTGCTGTACCAGATGAAGTGAAGGATAAAATACCACAAGCATGGGGTACGTGACAAGTGAAGCATTTGGAATGATGGGCTGGATGTGTAGCTGAGCTGGACCAGTAGAAAGGGAAGTCTTGGAAAGAAAGCAAAGCTGGATAGGAATAACGGAGCAGATCAGGAAGAATGGAAGATTTCCTTAAACAAGCAAAAGTTTAATGAAATAGGAAATATGCACCAAGCGACAAAAATGGAAGCTGGGGTGTAGGATTTTCGGCGTGTATAGCCGCTTAGTCTACTAGGTATAAGTAGACGTGTTGAAGCATTGCAAAAGCTTAACACAACTACTAGAGAACACTTAGCATAAGGGTGAGAGATTCAAGCATTAGAGTCTGCATCAAGGGTTAAGGGTTTCTAGGAAAGTTCTGAGATCAAGTATCGATCGAAGAACAGAGAGGGCTAGAGAGACAGATCAAGGTGTGTCTTGAATCTGTTCTAAATCGTGTTACGAACTTGTAAGGTGTCTTAACAGATTTACTAGCAATAAAGTTCAGTTAAAAGAAAAACCCTGTGTTAAGTTGTGTTGTTGTTCTTGACTCTTACGTTTACAAATAATACCTCATTTTTATCTCATTTTATATCTAGGAAGGTTTACGCCTAGACTCGTATATTCCCTCAAGACGGGACAAATGTACTATAATAATCTCACTTAGGCGCAGCTAAACAATACCATTTTCACGAAGCTCAATTCATTAATTAATTAAAAGAAAAGATTTTAAATCATACTTAATACAAAAGAAGAATCATTAATCTAAAATCACACATTAAATAATACAAGCAGGAGGGGGAGATAGGCGAAAGAATTAACGGGAAAGGATTTGATATGATTGATAATGGAAGAAAGGAAAGATTGGAGCTCCGCCATTCTCTTCCCACTTTTTTCTCCAAACTATCTGCAAACCAAAAATAAAATAAACTTCAGTGATGGAATGGCGGAGCTCCAAACAATAATACTTTTGTATAAGTATTAAGTATTACTTTTACAAAAATTGATAGGAGCTCCAAACAATAGTACTTATAGTCAGACATTTGTATTGGGCATTAATCGAACATCTATATTTGCAATATAATTTTGACCAATGAAAAAAATCACATGTATATAATTTTTAATCTATTTGGCAAAAACAAGTTAACGTCATATATAATTAAGTGTTAATTCAAATAATCTATACTAAGTTTCTTAAGGAAGAATCAAGTGTTAATTGAAATGAAAGGGAAAATAGCATACCCTTTAGCTGGAGAGAATTTATCAGATGGAACAAGTGTACCCCGGAGGTGGATTTTTACCGCAGGTAAGAAGAAGCTGAAGAGCAACAGGGACATAAAGCTTAAGGTTAAGAGCTTTAAGCTTGAGTGTAGTGCAGAGACAGGCGGCTGCTTCAACTTCAACGAGGCCTTTAAGTAACGGACAGCATTTGTTAACTGCAGGGTCTCCAAGTCCTATCTTTACTAAACCTCCCAACAAGTCCACACACGCCCCCAACTTAAGCGTGTCTATTGGACATGTGGCCTTCCCACTGCCTGATGGGGGCATCTCGCTACCCGGGGTTGGAGGACAATCCTTCCCTCCTGTGGCTGGTGGGATAGTCCCTGGTAATGGTGGTAGTGGCAATGTGGGTAGCCCGCCCACTGGAGGAAGTGGAAGCTCAGGGACAGTCACAGGAGGAACAGGTACCTTTGGGACAGTAACTGGAGGAACGGGTACCTTTGGAATGGCCACTGGCGGAATGGGTAGCTTAGGGACTGTCACCGGAGGAACTGGGAGTTTAGGTACGGTAACTGGAAGTTTAGGTACGGTCACCGGAGGAATAGGTAGCTTTGGAACAGTTACAGGAGGAACGGGTAGATTAGGGACAGTTACTGGAGGAACGGGTACCTTAGGAACAGTAACCGGAGGAACAGGAAGCTTGGGAATGGTGACAGGGGGTTTAATTGAGGGTAATCCGCCCTTCTGGTGGTTGCAGGAACCGCATGAGAGTGAGTGTTGGGGAGAACAGATAATGCAAATGAGGAGACAGAGAGAGAGCAATGAGAGTTTGGATGAGTCCATGTTGAGAAGTGTACGTGGAGGAAATATAAGAAAGGGTATATGAATATATAGAGCAAGAATGGGAAGAAGGGATCACGTGAACATGGGGGCTACTTCTGCAATAAGAAGAGAAGACCCAAAATAAGCATGGTTGGCAATTATCATAAGAATACAAGATTCCCTCGATGACCCATCGCTATATCGCATCACATGTCCCCTCCTTTTTTTCACTCCTTTGTTCGTGCCTCTTTGTCTCGGGTTTACTGCAATTTTTACCAAAATATCTACAGTTTTAACAGTGTACAATATTGGTTTCTCCTAACAATGAGATTAAATAATTTTGAAGGTCTGTACATCAGATTAAATAACACATTTTTCCAATTATTTATATATTTAGAGAAATTATTAAAAGATTTAATTTTATGACAAAGGATTATTATAAACTAGATTAGGACCACATATATATGAGCGTTTATATTTGATAAAAAAATAAAAACAAAACAAAATTAAATCACCTTAAAAATGAATAATATACAATTTTAGAAATAAAACTTTTGATAAAGTACATATATACCTTGTGGAGCAGGTACAGTAAATAGATTTATTGGACTTTGATTTTTTTGTATGTAATTGACAAACTATAAAATTGTGCACGGAATCGGACCGATAGGACATATGTGTTCGGCAACGGCTGTAACTTTCGTTCTAAGGCTCCAAACGTCATGAGACCAACTTAATTGGAAAGATGACTCTCTGGCCTTCAACTTCCATGAAGATCGTCGAAGCTGAGTCATAGTAAAAAGGGCCTGTTTCAGATGAACTTTTAGATACATCGGCTGGTGTAAGATTTGGCCGAGAGAATCATATACTGGTGTTTTTGCGAAGGGTTTTTGGCCGAGCGGTACATGCCTGATGCAGTTTTCGCCATGGAAACTTTTTTCCGGAAAGGAAATTTGCCGAGAGCACGTTTTGGCTGATTCTTCATATTTTTTTCACCATTTCTTCAAGTGTTCTCAAGCCCAAATGCACTCTAAATCTCCAAAAGTACCTAGAATGAATCCAAAACATGCAAAGACACACTTGGACCTAATGCATTCCTATCTAAACTCAATTAACATTAAAATATTAAGAAATGCTTTCAAATGAATGGACTAGACATAAAACTATACTAAAATGAATGATAAAACATGATAAATTTTATCCACAACTCCCCCACACTTATCCTTTGCTTTTCATCAAGAAAACAAACAAGAACAAGGTGATAAAGAGGTTTGAAAGGTGAACTCATATCCATAAATATCAATAAAAGAATTCAAAGTTCAATGTCCAAATTTACTAGTTCTAGGATGCAAACAAGTGAGTCTACTTAAAAGAAACTAGCCATATCCATCAATAAATGCATCAAGCTCAAGTATTAGCCTAGACAAGCATGCCTAGTCCCAACCCATTAAAATTCATAAAGGTTTTCAAGTGAATCATGTTCATGCAAGACAAATGAATTCATTTGGCTAGGGACATGGTCTTGAGACTAAGATGATCCCAATACAAGTAACTGGTTGCTCCAAGCTAGGGATCACTCAAGAAGAAGTAGACTTTAGCAAAATGCTAAGGGTAAAAAGCAATGGATGCATACAAAGATAGACCTACATCGACTCAATACCCCATTTGCTTTAAAAACCTAGCCATGAAGTTTCTTCTCCTAAGCTACCCTTTCTCAAAGGCATTTTTACCTTGATAAAAACCAACCTTTGTTGTTTTCTTATCTCTAAGGCCTTAAGGGAATGCTCTTCTTGCACATAACACTTTGAGAGGTTCTTTTTCTTTACACACTTAACTCTTTTCTTTTATTTACTCTTCTAGTCTCTTTCTTTTTCTTTTCTTTACTTTTTGTTAACTCGAGAGACTAGCTATTATACTTATAGCTTTTTTTAACACTTGCTAACTCAAAATTTTTTTTCTTTTGGATTCATTCCCCTACTTCAATCCCATCTTTCTCTTTCACACCACACTCCATCAATTTTTCTCATAAACCACAACTTCCCAACCCATAGCCTAACCTAATCTAGCCATTGATGATGGACTAGAACCTACATGTAAAACCTTTATCGCTCTAGACCCAACACGTTTTGCCAACTCTACTTGAAAATAAGGCCTTACATGGACTCACTAATCGTGGCTTGAAAGGAGGATTGGTTTAAGGTGTTGTTAACCATTCCAATGATGGGAATTGGCTATTTGAGCTAACAAAGAGTTGTAACAAGATGAAGATAGCCCAAATATGTATATGGTATCCATGAATTCACTATGAAATGCATAAACCTGATAATTAAGATGACAAATTAAAGGTTTTCACTTAAGTAGGATTGGAACTAATCACAACATGATTCAACTAAGACAAGAAAAGTCAAACACAAGATCCAAATAGGGTTCATCCTTGATTTGAAACTCAATTAGATGCATCAACAACTAATAACTAGGACACTGAACCAAATTCGTAAAATGATATTCTACAAGGAAAAATCAACCATTATTCCCAATGCATGATGAAAACCTATATGAAATGCATTCTATACTCAATCCTAAGTATGCAAATGCATCTGTATGCTTCTTTTTTTGATAAAAAACTTTAAAAATTACCAATTTTTATCTTTTCTGTATAATGAATGAATGCATGAGACTCAAAATGTTGAATATAAAATAAGAACACAAAGAAACATGGTTATATAACACTAAATCCCTCCCCCACACTCAAATTACAGAGTCTCTTGTGTAATAGAAGCATGAGAAAGAGGAAAAACAAAATTCTAAAGAAAATGAGACTAAATGCTATACATAAGTCTTAAAGTGTTACCTTGAGTGTTTAATGGAGAGGAGGAGTGATGTCTATGCATCAAAGGATCTTAGCATCACCACAGATCAGTTGTGCACGGCCTTGGTTTTCCTCTACCACGTGTTAAATCTTAGACCATCAAATCCCCTTGCACACAATCAACAAAAAGATCAAGACTCCCCAAAACATAACATTTAACTAGAAAGCAATAAGAGAAAGTATATACAATGATAGACATGGGACTGTCTTCCAAGTACACTTTGTTTTAAGTCACTAATTTTGACTTTTCATACCTTCCTTTTAATGAGAGAGAGAGAGTAGTGGAACTCCCTGGATTTCCTTGAACTCAAGCCTCATTGCCTTGCTCATAAGCTCCTCAATACCATTTTCACCTTTGTCCTTGAGTTCTTGAGTGAGAATTGCTTTGACCTTTGCAAATGGCTTAGACCTTCCTCTACACTGAATCTTATACTCAATCACTCCATCTTGATGAGTTAATGGAATGAGAATGATAGTGGAAGATTGGTCAAGAAATTTTTTTTCCTTATTGGCCTTGCTCGGTTTCTTCTTAGCTTTAGGACCTCCACCTCTCTATTGGACCACTTTGCAAGAAACTTCTTTCTTTATGGTGTAGAATATTGAAGTTCCAATCAATCCTCATCATCACTAAAGAATTTCTAACCATCAATGAACTCAAGATCAGGCTATACTTCAGGTTCTTTCTTTTTTTTTCACAAGCTTCAAGAGGCTGATCCTCTTTCCTTCATTTCACAAGATCCCACATACTTCATCTCAAAGTGGTGAATCTCATCTTTGGTGCCATGGAGAAGTCTCTCAACCTCTATTATAGCTTCCTCATTCTCATCAAACAAATGCACCTTACTTGAGAAGTTAGCATTACAATAATCCTTTAGTTCCTTGCCCTTTAGTATGGGTTCACTAGTGAGGGAACTTTCTTTAGAACCTTGTTTCTCCAAGTGTTTGACCTTAGAAGACATGAATTCATGCTTTGTGTGGAGATCTTTGTAAGAACTCTTTACTCTTGTATTAATCTCATCTTGTCTATTTGTTGGAAAAATTTGTTCAATTCCATCTCTTTAGGCTTTGAAGAACCTACTTGGCCTTGTGGAACAAACTCTTGCTGAAAACAAAGCTCCACCTCACCTTGATCATCTTGACAAGCTTCAATATCATGATCCTTGTATCTTTTATTACTCTTGGCCAAATTCTCAACATGTAGTTGTCCTTGTGCTATCGTGAGATTTGCAAAACGCCCATTGCTAGCTACATCCAATGTCCATTTATGCTCTCTATCAACTCCCCAATACAATATACTAAGGATAGCTTCTTGTTGAACCCATGATGAGGACAATCGCTAGTATATCCTTTAAGTCTGTCCCATGCCTCATGAAAGGTCACATAGATGCCTTGTTTTGAAGCTCAAGATGTTTCTACTAGTTTGGACCGTTCATTGTATGGGATAGAACTTTAAAAGAAACATCCTCTTGCAATTATCCCACGACTTGACTAAGTGAGATGGTAGTGATATCTCCCATGCGCATGTATTTTCTCCAAGTGAAAATGGGAACAAGATGAGCTTGATACTATCTTGGGGCCCTCCTCCAATCCTAAATGTGTCACACAACCTCTCAAAAGAGTCCAAATGGTCATATGGATTCTCCATTCCTAACCACAAGAACTTAGAGTTTTGAAACAATCTAACCATATCTCATTCCACGACAACAAGGAGTGTCAAAATTTGCAATGGTTGGCTTATTCTTTGGAGCTTGGGCTGGACTTAAAGCCAATGCTTGAAGTTATGGCATTTGTTGAGGTTTTAGATCTTGAGGAATGCTCTTGTGGTCGTCCATATCCAATACATCAAGAGATCTTGTCTTTCCATTGCTCTGTTGAGATATCAACTACTTACCATATATTTGAAAATACCATGTGTTGAATCTGGATCATTTGCAAGAAATAGAACTAAATCAGCAACATTAAAACTCGGACTCATGTTATATTTACCTTGTACATCAACGCTGATTATTTTTATGACTTCGAAAGGACCATCAATTCTAGGCATGTGTTTAGAGATTCGTTCTACTGGGAACCTATCTTTTCTCAAACGTACCCACACGAGATCTCCAACCTTAAAGATCATCTTGCGGCGGCCCTTGTTGGCTTGTCTAACATATTGCTTCATCTTCTCTTCTTTGTTTTTTTTAGCCTTCTCATGGATCTGTTCAACAAGCTCAGCCTTATTTTACCCATCTAAATTTACCTTTTCACTTAGAGGCCAAGGGGCTAGATCCAAAGAAGATGAAAGGTTAAAACCATAAATAATCTGTATTGGAGAAAACTTCGAAGCAGAGTGAACAAAATTGTTATATGCAAATTCTACATGAGGTAAGCAATCTTCTCAAGAATTAAGGTTCTTCTCAATTAATGCACGCTACAATGTAGACAAGGTTCCTTAAACCACTTCTGTTTGCCCATCATTATGCAGATGACATGTAGTAGAAAATAAAAATCTTAGTTCCTTGGTTAGACCACAATGCTTTCCAAAAGAAACTTAAAAACTTTGTATCTCTATCAGTCACAATGGTCCTTTGCATGCCATGCAAATAGACAATCTCCTTGAAGAACAGATTAGCTACATGTGATGCATCATCGGTTTTGTTACATGGTATGAAATGTGCCATTTTAGAAAATCTATATACCACTACGAAGATAGAATCCTTACTTATCCTAGTCCAAGAACAAAATCAATAGAGATCTCAGTTCAAGGATGATTAGGAATAGGTAATAGAGTATACAAACTGTGAGGTTGAACTTTAGACTTTGCATGTTTGCATGTAGCACATCTTTGACATATCCTCTCCATGTGCCTCTTCATCTGTGGCCAGGAAGTGATCTTGAATTACTTTAAGGGTCTTAATAATTCCAAGGTGTCTCATTAGTTCACCCCTTTGAGCTTCTCTAACAAGCAAGTTTCGATTAGAACGATAAGGCATGCACAAGCGATTGTAATAAAAGAGAGATCCATATTATTATCCTTAGCAAACTTTTCATAAAATTAATATACATCTTTAAAGTCAGAATCAGATACATATATTTGTTTACGCTGTTCAAAACCGAAAACTTAGCATCAAGAATAGAGAGCAAGGCCTACCTATAAGAAAATGCATCAACAACTACATTTTCCTTACCTTGTTTATACTTGATGACATTGGGAAATGTCTCAGTGAATTTGACCCACCTGGCATGTTTTTTGATGAGATTTTGTTGTCCTTTTAGATGCTTGAGAGACTCATGATCAGTATGAATGAAAAACTCCTTAAACCATAAGTAATGTTGCCATGTTGCAAAGCCCGGACTAAAGCATACAGCTCCTTGTCATACATTAGGTAGTTTAGAGTAGCTCCTCCGCGTTTTTCATTAAAGTATGCAATGGGCTTATTATCCTTCATCAAAACAGATCCAATTCCTATAGCAGATGCATCACACTCTATTTCAAAGGTTTTCAAAAAATCAGGTAAGACTGATAGAGGTGCGTTGATTAGCTTATTTTTCAAGGTTTGAAACACCTCTTCTTGTCCTTCTCCCTAATCGAATCTCATGTCTTTCTTGACAACTTCAGTTAGAGGTGCAACCAGGGTACTAAAATCTTTAACAAAGTGTCTATAAAACCCGACTAGGCCGTGGAAGCTCCTCACCTCACCAAACTGTTTGGGACTCGGCCAATCTTTAATAGCCTTGACCTTTTCTTTGTCGACCTTGATTCCATTCGCACTTACAAAAAACCTAGGAAGACAAAATTGTTTGTACAAAACGTGCATTTTAAAAATTAGCAAATAGCTTTTCTTTCCTAAGCACATCTAGAACATATTTCAAGTGACTAACATGCTTTTCTAGGTTCTTGATATAAATCAGAATGTCATCAAAGTAGACTACTACAAAACAACTATAAAATCTCTAAGTACATGTTTCATTAACCTCATGAACGTACTATGTGCATTTGTTAGTACAAATGGCTTAACTAACACTTGTAAAGACTATGCTTCGTCTTAAATGTTGTTTTCCACTCATCCCTTACTTTCATTGTAATCTGATGATATCCACTCTTAAGATCAATTTTAGGAAAGATGCTAGAATCATGCAATTCATTAAGCATATCATGTAATCTAGGAATGGGATGTCGGTACATAACTGTGATATTGTTGATTCCTCTACAATCAATGTACATTCGCCAGCTACTGTCTTTCTTAAGTACCAACAACACGAAAAGGACACAAGGGCTCATGCTCCCTCTGATATGCCCTTTCTCCATAAGGTCATTCACTTGCCTTTGCGACTCCTTGGTTTCCACCAGATTGGTTCTTGAGGAGGTCTTCCCAAACATCGACACTTAGTAAGGCTAGTAAAAAAAGGATCAGCTTTGCCTTAATGGCTGTGAAGCTCACTGAACAAAGGATGGGGGTTGAAAGGTCACACAGAAGTTGCAAAATGGCTTCTGATTCACCGTCGATCCTCTATATATTACACACCAAAGAAATCGAGTTGCTTGCTGGACATTACACACCAACAAAAAGTTTGAATGAATCATGCTCAAAGAAGAAGAAGATAATAAAGGGTTGATTGACTTTTTTCTTGCTGGGCTTACAAGGGTTATAAATAAGAAGAAATGAAAAGAAACCAACAGCAAACAACTAGTAGCATTAAACATCTCCTACTAGCAGAAACAATAAATTGTTTAGCTGTGACTTTTTCTATTCCTTTGGGTTGAGGTTTATCCTTGCTGGACCTACGTCTTCTCTTTTAATTTTAGGCTTTTAATCAAGTTAAGATCCACTTCACTCCTCCTGTAAAAAGGCCTGGTCGAAATTTTTCATGGGCTTGAAGTCTTAATGGATCTTATACAAAGAAGCCACACATTATGTGGATATTTCTTGTTGCTTCCATGATCACATCAGGCTTAGTCTTGGTGGTTGATTCGTTTTACTTGAGTGTCGGGCTTGGACATGCGCTTGGGGGTCAGGGTTCTCGCTATGGTTTGTCTAGTTACGAGCTGCTTGGTAACTATGGGTAATCATGCTTGACGAGTGTTTTGTGATCGCATCTTTGGGAACTCTTGGAGTTTGCTAGGACGATCTTGTTTGGCCAAGATGAACTGTCCATGTAAACTAACGCAATGCGTTGAGAGTTGCGTTGTGAGGACTAAGTTTACTAGGGAGTATCACCAAAGAGTGTCTGTGTGGGAGTGTCCATGAAAATGTCTATGGGAACCCGAGTGTTCACCAAGGGAAGTCTGTGGAAACATCTGTGGGAAGTAGTGTGTCCACCAATGTGTATTGTGAAGAATTCAATGGGGACCAAGTGTGTCCTCAGCCGAATCTCTGAGGATCTGAAAAATCTGTAAAGATCGTGAGAATCCATAATGTTTTTAGGAGGATCAGGAAAGATCCGTGAAGTTTCTGTGAAGGATCAGAATTGATCTATGAATGTTTGCAGGGATCATGAGTGATTCAAAAATGCTTATAAGGGTTGGGGATGACCAAAGGTAATTCAGTAAAGTCGTGGAGGCTCAGAGAGATCCGTGAATGTTTGTAAGGGTTTACGTGTTACCCGGAAAAAATATAAGAGGCACAAATGTCCGGTGGGACTTGAAAATCCAGGAGATGGTCGGGAAATGAGTCTGTGATCAAACATAAGGTATAGGTAATGAATCCAAGAGCGGCAAGGGCAAGATCGAGATCAATTACGCGAGAGACTGTGATCGGGAAATGGTGGGCGTAACTCAATTGAGGTAGTGAGTTTAGTTGCCGAGAATTGAGGTAATTCGAGACAGGCCATTGGAAGTGAGGTGTACTTGCCAATGATTGTTCGATATCCAAGAGATTCCTTGGAATTAAGGACTACTACGCTTAATTATTAGGGAAAAATATTCTGGTCCTGTGAGACAGAGAGTGAGTTGAATAAATCTGAAGTATAAAGTTACTGAGTTATATGGTGAAGTTTGTGGAATTGGTTCCGATACTTCGTGAAGTTGGGTAGAAAAAGGTTCCAACAACCGTTGAATTCAAGGACAAATTCATTCTAAGTGGAGAAAAATTGTAACACCCATGTTTTGTATTTCGTAGCTGATGGGATGGAAATGTTTCAAGGCAAACGAAAGATAAAGTCCAGGTGATTTTTGAGCTTATGTTAGCTCGTCCGTGATTTTTGGAACTGGTTTGATGGTTATTCGGACAGTCCATAATTTTCGGACTTGTCGGATTCGGACAGGTTGGTGAGCTGCTGTTAGGAGCAGGGCAGTCCACGTGCAGGAAAACGCGAGGGAACGGTTATCTGTTTTGAGGCACACGATGAAATGCATGGGCACGACTATTGCCTTCGTGGGAAAATTGCGCAGACAGTTTCTAGGTGTGTGGATCGGTTTCTATACGCGTGCAAGCGCTAAA